GCTATAATGTGTTTTAGCTGTACTTTGATATTGAAATGGTTCCTCTTTCTGCAGATTCCTGAGGTAAATTCCTCAGCTGAGGTGCACAGTTGCAGCTTCCCTGGTGTTGAAAGAGCTTATCTATGTACAAAAGAGCTAAGCTCAGATACTTTATGAGAGCGTAGAGATTTTGTGGTTTTCATACATTTGATCTGAACATTCTCATAAACATCCCAGTGTCTCAGTTTTCCTCCAGCATTGGTGGTGCAAATCTATGTTTGTGTAATTTTATGACTAAAATGAATGATCAATGCACACACATTGCAATGGGCCCATGTGGATTCTCACCACTGGGCAGTTCCTTGGACTTAGTGCCCAGAGATGCCAGAGGGCTGTAAGTCTGCACAGTGCTGTGCTGTTCCTTCACGCAGTGCTTGAACTCAGAGGTTCGCTCCCATTCCTTCCTCTTCAATGACAGCAAAAGCAGAATTCCCCAACCACCCTTCTCTCTGCTTGCTTCCTCCTTGCCCAGTGGTATTTTATCTTCTGCAAGGGTTTGTGTGGACCAAATGAGTTAGGCTTTATGCACAACTGACCAGAGATCATGGGCAGAGGGCAGAAAAGGTAGTTAGAGGATCTGTAGGTGCCATCCAGAGGGATTATGTGTGGAAAGGAGTTGATGTGACATCTTGTGTCTGTTGTTACAGAAACAATGTAGAAGATTGCCCCAAGCATCAGAGGTTCTTACAGACTGCTCACTTGGGTGTTTCTGCTTGTCTGTTATTCAGTCCTGATTCTGCTTATCTGGGCCTCTTTTCCTATCCATTTATTGCCACTATTTCCAGTCCCTTGCCTAGGGAGCAGTATGTGCTGCTTTTTCCCAATTCTCTCCTTGGATGTCAGCTGAAGCTTTCATCTCCCACTCTATTATAATATTAAATACATTAATTGCCCTATATTTTCTGCACATGCTCTGTTATGCAGGAAATCCACATTTTGTCACCTGTAAGGTGATAACTCTAACTCAGCTGTGCAACTCAGGGGCCAGGGCTTTCTATGTAGCCAAGAGGAAAGGTGGTAGGCTCTTAGCTTGGGCACTCAGCATCACCCTCTGGATTCAGTATCTCCTCTGTGAACACTGGCTCCTGATTTAGGCACCCAAGTTAACACAAGTTGATGAGCACTTTCCCTTACTGTATACCTGCTGTTTGCTGCTTCTTGCTTCCTGGCAGTGCAAAAGGCTGAAGTTATAAATCAGCCCTTGGTGAATCACTTAATTCCTCTGATAATTGTTTCTCTCATCTAGAAAGAAATGATGCATTTCCCTGCTTTCTGCCATTTATAGAGAAGCATCTGCCTGCTGCTTTTTTTTCCCCTCCTCAGCTTTACTTTTCACTCCTTTCTCAGCGTGAGAGAGGCTTGCTGAGTCTGCCTCTGCTTCCCATTTGCCACGTCTGGAGGCTGAGCAGAGGAACATTGTGTGCTGCCTCAGGATTCAGTGGGGCTGACGAGTGAGGAACTGCAACCCCTGGAGGAAACTCATTGATGCTTAAGCTCAAGGCAGTGCATTCCTCAGGACTTTTAAAAATATCACTGGTTGTTTTCTCTCTTTTTTTTTTTATTATTTTATTTTTCTTTCTTTTCTTTCCACGGTGGACCACTCATTAAATTGTCTGTGAGATCTTCTGAAGATAAATGTCGTGTAGATAAATGCCCTGTGTTAACTCAGCATTTTGGTACGTAGAATTCAAGAGAATGGGAAACTTGAAAAAAATGCTTATAAAGGGAACTGATCTTGGGAGTGTAGGGATGGTGATTAGAGACAGTATTTGCCAAAGACTAACTGTTAGTGACCATATGCATTCTGGGGATCTGATTCAGCTTTCTTTGAAGTCAGTGATTATCTGCTGTTGTCATGTGTGGCTGTAGGATCAGCCTTATAAGAATAGCCTGGCCTCTATACTGCATAATGTTTCTCCTTTTGTCTTCTGATGGAGACATCCATATGGCAGGAACAAAGACATTTCCTTGCTCTTTCATTGTAAATATGTTTTTCTTTTGCAGCAAGTCCAAATGAATGCCAAAGCACTGCAGCTTGCAAACATTCCCTGCCTGGGTTTTGGGACTAGAGAAGTGGTTGTGCTGAGGAGAAATGCAGAGATCAAAGCAGAAGACACAGACAAATAAACTGTCTCTTCTAGTTCACTGCTTGAACCAAATATTTCATTCAAATGTCAAATCAGCAAAACCAGGTTGTGATTGTGTTGTTTCATCATCAGAGATTTAGTGTGGAAGGAGTTTATTTCTTAAAAAAAAAAAAAAAGGCAAAAAATAACGGTGAGATGTATTTGGTCTCAAGGCTTTATTTCAATGTGAAAAAAATCCACAAACACCCTGAAATAGTTTGGTTTTTAAGCAAATGAGAAAAAGAATGGAAACAAGACTTCTTGAACAGCAAACCAGTTGCTGAAGAAGCTCTCACAGCTCTAGGGGAAAGGGTTAAAATCCCTGTGGTGTCTCCTCTGACCTTCACATTACACTGAAGAGGAATTTGGCCCAAGCTTTCTCTTGGTAGAGAATCTGACTCAGAAAAGCAGCCTCTGCTCATGGTGCATTGCTCCTCCCTCTTCTCTCATCCAAGACTTCTCTGGGCCCATTTCTATACTTAGTATTTCAGGTCAACATTAGTTATGTTGAGTTTAACTGGGTTCAAGCAATTCTGTTTTACATTGTGTCTTGGAAAGAGAATCCCCCTAGAATTTACAAATGCTTTACCTTGTAAAAAAGTTTTCTTTTCACTGATGGGCTTGTTTCTTCTCAGAAGTTTGGATACTCTGCAGATGAATTCAATAACATTTGTTTTCACAGGGAAGTGCACATTTGAGCACTGTCTCATGTAGCTGGGTATTTTGAAATCTGTTAATCCATTCCAAAATTCTTGCTTGACCTATACGTGACTTGGGCTTACAAGAAATTTTATTATGGTAGTACAACCCAATTAGCTGTGAGTAAGTAACAGTATTTTGCAAATTTGACTATTTATCATTGTTATGATTATCATATCTAGAGCTGTAGAGTTTACAAATTACAGAATTAGTGTGCAATATCTATTTTTCTTCCCATAGAAAGAATCATTCAATTCCATAGCCACCCCAGGACATTTGTAGCTTTACACTTTTTTTTAGGAATACTTGTTGGTTAGGATCTATTCTGTTCATTGCAATTATCAAAAGGTCTTCCTTCATGTAACCCGAGCACCTGAAGGTGTTCTTTCCAAGTGGCACATGGATTGGCTACAATGATAGTGCAGCCTCTGGAATCAGATTCCCTCTGGATGAAATAATAAGCTGTGATTGCCGCTTCAGACATTCTTCAAGAGCAGGAGCGATTCAGCCTTCTAATTAAAACAAAGCTAAAACATTCATTCTTGTGCTTATATTTGACTACAAATCTTATTATGATGCATTACTGAAGCAAAACTGTATTTTTATTTCTATTGTGATATGTGAATTTGTTCAGCAAAAGTTCCTGCAGTGATAATTGATGAATCAAGCAGTCTCATGTTTCCAGGCTCAACAATTAAGCAGAAAGCACAAACTGCTTTTGTTTTCTTTTGTAAAATAAAGAAATATAATATTCTGTCTAGAACAAAAATAGCTGGTAGTCACATGGACTGAGTGTTAACCCAGGCCTTGCTCTCACTGAAAACACCTATGACTCAGCTGTCAGCCCTTTAAATGCTGTGAAAATTTTCTGTAACAGTGGGAATAATAAACCATGCTACAGCTTTGTCCTCAATTCTTAATTGACATAGTATGCAGTAAAATCTGAATTTCTCATATTAAATAGCTTGTATTGTAATATAGATTGTATTAAAAACATGGGGTTTAGAGTAATCTATAGATATAAAACTAAAAGCAATTAGGTTTAGAAGCTTTGAACTTCCTGCATGTTTCAAGTTTCTGTAAATTCAAGCCTTGAATTTGAGTAGATCACTCTTTTTGGAGATGATTTTCTGTTTAGGATACTTGGAAAACTGGAAGGACCCTTTATTTGATAAACCTGAAATTTTAAATCAGTTGCTGATTACCAACTGTTTGAAAAAATGGATACAAAATGTTAATTTCATTGATGGCACTCATTCGTCTTCATGCTACTGAGTTCAGTGAGAGGTTTGCTAAGTTCAGGAGTTATGAGAAGATGGTGGATATTGGATCTCAAATCTGGACTGTAAATGTTGGTTCTGATTTTCAAATGCTAAAAATTCAAAGATTGCTGTCTGCTTTTTGATGTATTTTTCATTTATGTTCTATGTAGTCATTAACTGTTCAAGCCTCTATCCATTACTAGCAGGATGAGTTTCCTTCCGGGATATTGGAATTTTATGTAACTTGAAACGAATAGCTGCCTAACTGGAAGACATAATATGTTTTAAAAACCACTTTGAGGATGCAGTATGGTTGGGACAGAAATTCTTCCCCTTTTGTGTTTTCAATCTTCTCTCTTGGCACTGCTGAGCCAAAATGTTTATTCTTTCTTTGCCTTCTCTCAGGAGAAGAGCAAAATGAAGGTAGCATCAAATAAGAGCTGTCTTATTGTTTGTAAGGGTGGTATGTTGAGAACGATTATTTATTGGTCTTCATTTCACCCTGTGAGTGGTTGTTACAGATTTATAAAATCTATTGATATACTTTAAAGTCATTAAGTGCCTTAGCTTTTATATTTCAATAAATTTTCCACAGCTGCGGATGCTCAGAACCACGTCTTGTGAAATCTTTGTATTTTATTTAAAAAAAAAGGCAGTAAAAAAAATCCAAAGAAACTTGTCAACCGCATAGCCAAGTTCTCTTCCAAATACTTCCAGCTGCAGCTAGAGGGATGAGTCATGCTGAAAGCTGAGGAGCTTTTTCTAAAAGCCTTTCACTCGGTTCACATGATTTTATTTTTTTTTTATTTTTTTTTCTAATTTTACATTCCTGTCTGTTTTTCTTTCCTTAAAAAAAACCAACCCAAATGTGAAGGCGAGTCACCCAAGGAAAACCCGTACGAGGATGTGGAGCTGAAAGGCCGTCACGCGGGCCGAAAATCCCATCAGCTCTCTGAGAATTCCCTAGATTCTTTGCACAGGATGTGGACGCCGCAGAACAGGAAATACACATCACCTCCCCAGGTAACAGCCTGTCTTTCTGTGCTTGAAGCTCATTTAAAGCTTTTGCAAGGAAATCACTTGTGGCATAGGAGGAAGAGCAGCCGTACTGGATGGTAAAGGGTATCTGGAAAGAGTGTGACCGAACGCACCAGTTGGTGCTGGGAATGCTCTTGGCAGCTATAGCTCAGCCTCCCAGGGCTGCAGGAGCTGATGGCTCTTTGTGCTGGCTGCAGCCTCAGGATTTCAATGAGAATCCTTCCACCGGTTGTTTGTGAGTTAAATCTGGACCTAAGTTATTTGTATGGCTGCACCTCTTAGTGAACTGCCTCCACATTTGCTGCTGTGATTTTAAGCAGGGGCAGGAGGGGAAAAGTCAGCTGCTAATTTTGCCCGTGTGTTGTTATGTGAGGCCTCTTGTGACTTTGCTCTTGTGAAGTACGTAGTGTGGCATGTTTTACTGTAAAATGGAGAATGCCAAGTATGTCCCCCCAGTAAATAAACAAATAATAAAATAATCAGAAAAACCTGAGTGTCTGCATTTAACGAGGCTGTATAAGTTGTGTTTACAGCAAAAGATGAAAGATGAGGAACTCTGCAGACTTTCTATTTTGTGGTGAATTTTCCAAAGCAAGTCTGTTTTTTGTGAACACTATGAAATGCCGGGTTGCTTTGTCGTTATGGGATCATTGTGTTCATAAGAAAAAATATGATTCTCATCATATACTTAATTTTGAGATTCAAAACTCCACTTAAAGGAACTTCACTGTGCACTAAATCAACAGAAAATTTGCAGTTGAACAAAACGTCACAACAATTTACATTTTGTCTTATAAGGAGACCTAAACCAAAACTGAATACATTTTCTTTTACTTATTTTGTGTGCATGGGAGCATCACAGTCCAAGAGACAAAAGAAGTACCACCAGGATTCTTAGTGTGCATCGTAGCACATCTCTTATAAAACAGCAGTGTTTTCAGCAAAACTACTGGAAAAGGAACAAGTGGAAGGTAGTAATTAGGCAGAATAAGGAGAAACAGAAACTGCAGTCACAAAGATAACCTTGTAGTGAGAGACTTATGCTGCATAACAATTATTTCTGACTGTGTGCATATTAACAGGAACTGTGTAGCATCTAGAGGATCTAGGAGGGTGTAGGGTAGGAACCCTATAGGACCATAGTAAGATACTTTCCAATGTTCCCTGTTTAAGGGTGACCGAAGAATATACAGATTCAAACAGCTTCTGTAAAGTTGTTCAGTAAATAAGTACTCTCTGGTATCTTTGCAACAGGGCTGTTCTTATTCTGGCAGCTTGTTTCTGAAATGCTACCTGGAGTTCCCTGCCAGGAGTCAGTCCTGCCATAACTGCACTGTCATTGTGCTGATATTTAAAGTGAAGAGGCACTAAGAGTGGGTCAGCTATGGGCCTGGGTAATTCTCCAATGACCAGATATAGAAAAGTCTGAATTTCCTGAAGAATGGTAGATTTGGCAACGATTTATCACCCAGTTTTTCCATCATAACAACAGAGCTGGCTTAGTAACATGACTTTTCAGTCATGGATGATGATAAACAAGAGGAAGGAGATCAGAAGGTCATCAGGCTTCCAATAATCACCTCTAAAAAAATTCCTTTCATTAAAGTATAGACTGCTGTAGATTTTCCTGGTGTGATAATCTGTGGTAAGCAGGGACCTCAGAAACACTGATTTTGAATCCCACTGTGTCTTTTCCTTTCCCATTTTTTATTTTCAGTTTTTGAAGTCATCACATGTAAAAGGAATGTTTTATGATGACATTGTATTTGTGATGCAAAACACACCCACACAGAAACACCTGTGCTTAATCCCAGATTGCATGGCACTGTAATCAGTAAGCCCTCCAAGTAGAAAAAAATGGGACATTTATTACTTCAGGTCTATAACTTGCAATACTGCTGATATAATATTAGCAAATGCCAATTGACAGACATTTGACATAATAGTACTTTTTCCTGGATGTGCTGGTTAAGCTTCTTTACAGTGTTTGTGTTTGGGAGGAGAAGGCAGGGACCCAGCTTTGCCAGCCTGCTGGTTAACCTTCCTGAGAGCTGGGCAGAGCTGTTTGAAGGACTGCTTCAAAAGAGACCTAGTTTTTTAAAGATAGATGTTACTTGGTGCTTAATCCTGTCCGTGAAATTTTCTCCTCCCCCTCCAATGATAACAGTTTTGTGTTTCAAAGGGAATTCTTTGGGAATGCGGGACAAAGCTATAACAGCACCTCTGCACATTGGCAGATATTAAAATACATCAAGCTTGATTTTTTTTTTTACTTTGTTTTTCCTAGGATAAAATAGCATGAATTTGCTATTTTTTATTGCTATTACGTTGAATTAATATTACACTGAATTGGATAAATGCTCTTGATCTTCACTCCTGCAAGTGAAAGAGATGGGCCAGGCCCACTGGGTCAGTGTTCTGATGTCAGCCAAGCCTATAAGTCAGATTTTTAAGGCTCATAGAGTTGATGTGATGTGGGTGCAGGGAAATGCACCAGAACCAAAGGTACTGCTGTTTTCTTTGAACTTTAAAGTCTTAGATATTGACCTCTGACCCTTCATTAGGGGTTAAGATCACTAAAACCTTCTCTTCACACATGTCCCGCAGAGCTGTGGCTCACCTGGCAGGATGTCCTTGTGTAGCCACCACTCACTCACAGACTGCTGCCTCTTCTCTCAGTGTTGCTGAGGAGAGGAAGAGCTCAAGCTGTTCTTGTTCCTGCAGCTGCCCTCGAAGCCCAGCAGCCAGTCTATGCGCGTTGGGAACTGGTCAGAAAGGAAGAGCCACCGCTTACCACGGCTGCCCAAGCGGCACAGCCACGATGACATGCTGCTGCTGGCTCAGCTTGGCATCCCCTCCTCCCCTTCCAGCCTCAATGAGGACAGCCTGAGCACGGCAAGCGAGCTGCTGTCTACACGGCGAGCCAGGAGGATCCCAAAGGTATTGGCAGCGTGATCAGGCTAATGCTGAGGACAGACCACCTGTCTTCAAGAGCTCACAAAGTTCTACCCAGCCTTTAGCCATCACTGAAAGCTCTTTTAGTATCCTAAAGGAACATTTAGATCAAAACAGAAACAGTAATTCTCAGGAGCCCAGCCGTACTCCTTTGAGTTGATTTTAAGGCAATTCTGCTTTCCACACTCTTGTTTAAGCTCTGTGGATCAAAGCATTGTTGTGGACATAGCTTTATGATTTTGAATGGGTGATGGCCAAGAAGTTATTATTTATAACATGCAGCAGCATCTGAAGTGGTATTTCCTCATCATTTGTTTCCTGGTCTCAGGAAAATAATGATTATTGGCCTAATATGTTTCCCTTCATTTACTCATAACCTACCCAATCCTGATAACCATGTTGTCTTTGTGGATTTGAAGTAAAACTTAATTTTTTGTTTTTCAAGGAGTTTTCCAACTCAAAATAGAATGTGAAAAAAAAACCTCCAAGTCACAAGATGACAACCAAAAAAAATCAACAAACCTTTTCTTGTACAATAGCAACAGAGAGGGGGAAAACTGCTAATATGCTTAATTTTGGCTTGTGAACAAAGTTGATTTTTACTCTGTATACAACTCTTTCCTGTTCTTATTAGAAAGAATATTTTAAAGCACATGGCTATAAATACTGTGAGTAGAAGAACATTTTTATGTTTCTGTCAATTAGTCAGAAATTCTGTTTAAGGAGGAAATTACATCTTTAATATTAACTATATTTTTACTTTCTTGGAATTTATTGTTTTACTGCACAAATGAACATAGATCTGTGGAGGACGTTACATTGTAACTTACAGAGTTACTTGTTTTTGAGTAAAACTTTGACAGTTTGGCTGTTGGTTTTGTACCCAGTTTTTTTTTAATTGATGAGACAGGTATTCTCCTTATGTGAAATTATGTTTTCAGCATATGAATGTTCATAGTTTTATCATAAATCTTGTGACAATTTCTATTGTTTTATTGCTGTAACTCCAAGAATCTCATGTTGCTGGAGAATATCAGGTTTTTTTACTGAGAAAATATTAGTTATTAGAGGGAAAAATTCAAACCTGAGAAACTCCTGTTCTGTACCACCCCCAGTGATGCTTCATGAAGCAATACCCAAGTCCTTTAAACATCTGGGCCTTCCTCAGGACAGTGCAGGCATTTACCCATGATGAAGTAGCTGAAGCAGATGAAGTGCCAAGCAGCACAGCCAAGGGGAGTGAAAAATCCCAGCAAGGTCCCCCACTCCTGGTTCATGTGTAGTGGTTTCCTGCAGGAGTTTCTGGGCTGGTGCACATGCAGGAGCTGGGCAAGGTTTTTTATCCTGCTAGCTCTCCCACAGGATTCCCAGTGGGAAGAGCCAGGCATGTGACTGCGAGCAGAGAATCACAGAATCAACTGGGTTAGAAAAGACCTCCAAGATCAAGTCCAACCCTTGATCCAACACTGCTGTGGTTACTAGACCATGGCACTAAGTGCCACATCCAGTCTCATCTTAAAAACCTCCAGGGACGGTGAATCAAGTTCAGCAGAGCTTTGCTGGTGGGTTGCACGTGGTTCAGTCAGCACCTAGAGGCAAAATCCCTAATACTGATTCAAGTGGGAGAACAAGTGAGGATTTTAACACTTCAGAATGTTCTGGGCTGGATCCTCTTCTTCTGTTGGAGGGGTTGCATGAGGTTTTGTTCCAGTCTGTGCTCTGTTACTGGCCTTCTGCTCTGTCTATGGCAAATTAGTTTATCTCTCACTGAGTTTCTCTCTCTCTGCAAGCTGAGGTGAAACAGTTTTTGCAAAATGTATTATAGTGCTATGACTAAAACTACTATGGAATAAAATATATTATTCCTGACTCATAAGACATTATGAAGATGTCATATTATGACGTATTTATGACTCTCCAGAAACCATAATAGTCTGTTTAATTATGAATTCTTAGTAATCTCAACCTCTTATCGAAGGCACTGAACACAAGTTATCTCATTAATATTTTCCATCATCTCAGATTTTTTTTGGCAGACAGTTATTTTCTGCATTAGCCCTCCTGAGGGAAGTCACAGTGATTACTAGGACTTAAAATTCTGGCTAGTGATGGATAAAGCCAGCTAAAGACAGCACTAGTAGCTAACTTCAAAATACTTTTGTAGATAAGGATAAGATTGGAGACAGTATGTACAGCACCTCTGAAGTGAGGTAAGTTACAGGGTAAACTGGAAAGGGGAAGAAGTCCATATGGGCCAGACCCTCAGCTGATACCATGTATCTTCAAAGCAGCTGATTCACTCTGTACCTGAAAAAGCTTAAAAAAGTTAGACCCAACTCCTTGTGCTTATTTGAACACATGAAAATCTCAGTTCAGAGAGGTGCTGGTACACCTTACTCTTGTATTCAAAATCTGAATATGATTTTCAGGTCCATGAGAGTTTGGCAAAGTTGGATAAGGCTAATGGATTACTATTATTTAGAAGATGCAAGTGAAGAGAGAAATAATAGCTTAGAGGAATGAGGTGGTAGAGGATGACAGCTACCTTTGGCTACCTCAGGCTCATTGCTGTTATTGCAAATGTCTATGGCATTTTTGAAAATGGTATTTAGATTTCTGAGTTATTTAATTGTTTTTAAAAATATCCCCATAGGTAAAGAAGTAAGGTTGAAAATAACTTATTCATACAAACGGGATTCAAAATAAGAGAAATAAAAGTGCCCTTTGAAGTAGTAAAGGCTTTGGGGGTTCAGCTGGCATATCATCCATGGTTAAATTGTTTGGATAGCTTAATTAAAAGTCTCCTGGCAGAAAAGTGTTTAGTCTTACTGAGTCCTCATTTTCTTATTTTGCAGCTTGTCCAAAGAATCAATTCAATCTACAGTGCAAAAAGAGGAAAAAAACGACTGAAGAAACTTTCTATGTCCAATATTGAGACAGCATCCCTACGAGGTATGATACAAGTGTTATGGTTCAGTGAATCCATTGGAATGTTTCTGGATTAACAGATTCTCTTCTTTTCTCCACATCTCTCCTGGACTCTACTTTGTTTAGAACTTTCTTCCATGAACAGCAATAACTTTCTCTCTGCTAGAGGAGAAAATGAGGATGAGCTAAAAATAAACAAGATTCTCAGTATTATCTCTCCTATTAATTCCATGATCAGCTAGACTTATCAAGCTTCTTTAGTTCACTTTTCAAGTCACTTGCATCTGTAAGTTTTGTCCAAAATTCACAGTTTTGACCTTGTAATTCTTTCATGCTTCTTCCTGGCACTCACACTGTGCTTCAGACTGCTTCTGGAAAAACAGGGGCCAAAAAGAAATTCAGGCCATGTTTGTAGTAAGAGTACAATAGAGCTTTAATACAAGTACCCCTCAGAAATACATCTTGTCATATGGCTGCTTTTGCCTGTTAACTCTAACTCGGTTTGTTGAGTTCTGGTGGTTGAAGATGTTGCCCAGACAGCCAAAGCTCATAAGGCTTACTTTGGCTTGTCAAGTGCTCCATAACTTACTTTTTTCCAAAAAAATTAAAGTTTGAAAACAGTAGTGAAAGGGTTAAGATCCATTTTCTAAATGGAGTATTCACTTTTGCAGCTGAGCATAGGTGGGGGTTCAGTGCAAACAGTTACTGTAAGGGAGAATGAATTTTGCACTTTCATCAAAATGAAGCTCTTATTCTCAAGCAAAATTGGAATTGAATCCAAGGAAAACACCATCTAAGGAGTCGTTCAAACTGTTTATTTCAAGATATTTTAAGCCTGAGGAGAAGTGCATGTGTGGATCACAAGGCTCAGAGATGTTTCACCACAGTAAACTGAGTTTGTTTGCTTTGGTTTTGCATTAACTGATCCCTCTATGTCCTCTGCAGATGAGAACAGCGAGAGTGAGAGTGACTCAGATGACAGGTTTAAAGGTAAGGGATCAGCCTTCAATAACTTCTAGTCAGACCCTGTCGTAGACCTTACCAATGTACATCCTTCTGACACTGCATGTTGTTTCTGCCCATGGTCTATATTTTCTTTCCTGAGCTATGCTAACTCCATTACTGCAGAACTCACAAAAGTTCCAACACAGGAGCATGAACGTGGAAAGCAAGTTACAAAATGAGCTGTGAGGATCTAGCAAGGATTTGGCAACTGTGTCATATGATGAAAAACAGGGCCTTTGATAGGTTTGCTTTGTTAGCCACTTCACAGATGCTGATCTATTCCAGACTGACTACTGGGTGCAGACTTAGAGGGATGAGATTGGATAAAGATGCTTTCTTCTTATTCATATGCTGCTTTTAGTGTTTGCTGCAAGCTGCTGTTGGAGGCAGGAATTTGGGTATGATCCAGCATAGTGGTTCTTACACTCTTTTATAACTCTGCAGTCTCCAAATTGCAGAAATTCCTTTATCAGTGCACAGCACCTGCACAAACTCTGCCTGAACCAGGCCAGTAAATTAGTCCTTCCTTTTCTAGAGTTCTGATACAGAAAGAGACCTATAAAAAGGTTGAAGGCAGCAACAACAGATTTTATTATTAAAAACCCATAACGCTGTGTGTAAATGAGAGGGGGGGAAAACCCCCAAGAGTGTGGATCTATTGTTATAAGATAAGGGGCAAGCATCCGTGTTTATCCACTGCAGATGTCACCTGCTTACTGTTCATGCAGCAAAACTTTCTGGAAAATGTTGTCTTAGGGAAACAGGTTTGTTCCAGATAAGTGATGGTAAGAACACCCAAAACAGGCTGTATGCAACATTTTGGGGTTTTGTGGAAAAAGATTCATTGCTCCTTTGTCTACCTGTACTAGCCCAAAAGCACTTCCAGTTCTGTTTCTCTTTGTGTCAAAAAATATAGGGGTTGCTTGTTCTCATAACCCATGGAGAAAGATAGGCAGGGCTTGGCCTCTCTTGTGTTATTGGGAGGATATTCTGATTTCACTGGAAACAGGGAGGCTTTCCCCCCATTGTTGTGGAACAGAGGATCTTCATTCTGGTATCTCACTAACCAACTGTTCCTGAGTGATCTTATATTTACATTGATGCTCTCAGGGCATCCTCAGCCAAAGACACAGTTGTCATGTGTAGTGTGACAGGATTCACTGGGTCCCCATCTGGTGGGGTGGGCTCTTTGGTTTCACCTCTTGCAGATGTGAAGTGCTGGCTAGCAGAGTGGGGCTATCTCAGGGCAGGACCAGTCAGGTTATTCCTTGGGATTTATCTTCCCTAGTTGTGCAGTCACACCAAGAGCTTTATCAAAATAATTCTTCATTTTTGTGTTGAACCAGTTGTAGGACAGCTGGTCATCAAGAGGTTTCCCTTTCTTTCTGGCAATTAATTATGGATGTGATCAAGAGCTTATGACATCTTATTTTCCTACCATGAGGGATAGTTTGCCTTTTGCTAACTGTGGGCGAAGACAGTGATAACACAAAAACATGTGCTGCTAACAGTTTGATTGCCATTGCACAGAGATCCTGGTGTGAAGAGGTGGGGTGTAGAGCATGCAGGAAACTGGTTTTACTGAGCTGTTTTCACTTTTTGGTCTACCAGAACTGGTAATGATGTTACTGGCTAGTGCACCATAGATTTCTAGTGTCAAGTCAGTCGATGAAGGCATATCTTTGAGGTCTGGATGTGACCATCAGTCTAAGATTGCTCCTTAATTGAATTGGCACTAACAAAGCAATCCATGGGAGGCAATTGGCACATCTTTCCTTTTCTTCCTGTCCTCTTTCCCTGGATATTGTTCCATGGTTCATAGCAAAAAGCTGTGCTACATAGAGGCAGGGACAGAGCTCTTTTTCACCAATGTAAGCTAGATGCAAATCAGGCCTGAGATGTGAAACCCTCGAGGCCCCAGTGCATTTGCACACCCACATGAGGGTTTATAATCTAGTCTTATGTGTGAAGAGAAAACAGACCTTTGGCAGGGTAGCAGTTATGAACTGCAAATTATTTCAGTGACTTAGTGTTGCATCACTTGAGTACTTGGAGAGAGTTTTGATTTATGGATGCAATTAGTAAGGGAGAGTACAGAAGGTTTGCTAACTAGAAGGTTTGCTTTTGAAAGGAGAACATGCTTGGAACAATACTCTGGCAAATTGAAAGTCCTTTGTGAATGGCTGTGGCTTACACACATACATTACAGTCTTAGGTAGTGATCTACCTCTTTTTTAATTCCTTTTTTTTTTTTTATTTTTATGCCAGCTCATACCCAGCGTCTTGTGCACATCCAGTCAATGCTGAAGAGGGCTCCAAGTTATCGAACTCTGGAACTGGAGCTGATCGAATGGCAGGAACGGGAGTTATTTGAGTATTTTGTGGTAGTGTCACTGAAAAAGAAGCCCTCTAAAAACACTTACCTCCCAGAAGTGACATATCAGTTTCCCAAGGTAAAAGAAAAATTCTTACATACAGTGCATTCTAAGATCGGTAAAGTGAATAAGTGGAAAAATGAATACAAATCTAATTTTCAAATGGAGCTTTCAGTTATTCCAAAGCAATATGTTACAAAGTGAAGTGCATAGAGAAGGTAACTGAAAGCTTTCCCTGTTTTCAGATTTATCTTTTCCAAGGCTGGAGAGTTTGGCCCAATGGCAGATACTTTAAAGACTGTGTTTAAATTCAGTTTCTAAATATTTCACTTTTAACTCATTTTGACTATATTAGGATTCATTCCAAAACTCGCTGAAGTCAGTGGAAAGATTTTTTTTCTGATCTCTGGAATTTCTCTTGTGCTCTTACAGCAGAAAGGTATTTGAGTTAAGGTTGTGCTTTAAGTGGCCATTGTGTAACAAGGGAATTTCAGGCAATTAAGAAAAAAAAATTAAAAAACCCAGCAGTGATTATTGCTTTTGTACTGCCATCTATAAACCTGTCCTGGAGTCATGCCTCGCTCTGCCAAGGACAAATAAAGAACAATCTGATGTGCCCTTGCTCTCAGAGCTCATTAGTAGCCCTGCCCCCTGAGCAGTGCTGCGCAGTCAGGACTGCAGGGACTGACTGAGCCTCACTTTTCTCCCCCGCAGCTGGAAAGACCGACTAAGCAGATGCGTGAAGCAGAGGAGCGTCTCAAGGCCATCCCTCAGTTCTGCTTCCCTGATGCCAAGGACTGGCTCCCTGTCTCTGAGTACAACAGGTAACTGCCCCGGTGCTCCTCTGCCGCACGGCGCTGACGGAGAGCATCTGGAGCAGCCACAGCCTCTGCCATGCCCAATTAAGGAAGCAGCAGTTTGAGCCTTGGCCACTTTGTGATCAAGCAGCTGTATTTCATTTTTCTTTCTTTTGAAGTTCCGTGCTCTTTTTCTTGCCTGTTCTGCCTGCCTCACAGGCCTGTGTGGCTGAGGGGAAGAGGCTTGAAGGTTCCTCTGAGTGCTAAACTCAAAAGCATAAATGGAAGTATTTAAAATTAATCTAGAAAACGACAGGGCCCTGCCCACCACCTGCCCCAGTCATTTACCTCAGAGTGCTTGTTTAGCATTGCAGGACACTCTTCATTTGTCCCAAAACACTGCTGTCTGAGAACTTTTTTTGGAACTGAGCTCTGTGCCAAGAGAGGAGCCCTATCTTCCTTCCAGGGCATAGGAATGACTGTAAGAGAAGGGCAAGGGAAGGGAGAACCAGGATTGAATTTTCTTTTTCATTCAAAAGTAACCTCAAAAATGTATAATTTTTTTTCTTTTGCATTGGTATGTCAGAACCTGTTGATTCAAAAGTGCAGAAGTAACAGGATTGGCAGAGGATGTAGAATAATGGAATGGTTTGGATTGGAAGGGACGTTTAAAGGTCATCTAGTCCAACCTTTCTGCCATGACATCTGACATCTTCAACTAAATAGGCTGCTGAGAGCCCCACCCAGCTTGACCTTAAAAGTTTCTAGGTATTAGGCATCTACAACCCCTCTGGACAATCTGTTCCAGTGTTTTACCACCCTCACTGTAAAACATTTCTTCCTTTTATCTTGTCTGAATCTCCTTGCCTTTAGTTGAAGACCATAACCCCTTGTCCTATTGCTACAGGCCCTATGGGTCTGTTCCCATCTTTCTTAGAAGCCCCTTTTATTAAGCATTGAAAGGCCACAATAAGGTCTCTCCAGAGCCTTCTCCAGTGTAAACAACACCAATCTCTCAGCCTGTCCTTGTAGGTATTCCATTGCTTTGATAATTTTGTGTTCCTCCTCTGGATCTGCTCCAACAGGTCCATGTCTTTATTGCACTGAGGATTCCAGATCTGGATGCAGTACTCCAGGTGGGGTCTCCCCGTATTCTGCTAGAATATGACATGGTTTGTTAAGGTGCATGGTCTGAGTAGCACTTAAATGAAGTGAGACCTGTTCAGAGTGTGTCTAGAGGGATTTTCCATGGTGACAAGGAAGTAGCATTCACCTGCAGGAATTATTGTAGCCAAGAATATGTATGGAACTTTTTATAGGCTTCTGTATGGCACATGCAACATAATCCTGTTGTATTCTGTGTTCCTTGGCTGCATTATTCAGTACATGGAAGCACCTGCACAATGAGTTATTGAAAACTCTGACAAGGAGAAGCAGACAACTGTGTGGGTGACATTGGCATGGGAAACCCACAGCCCTGCCTGTACTTCATGTCTCCTCTTCTGCTGCTGTTCCCTTTCATGAGACCATGTTCGTGAAACAAGATATCTCTCCCATATACAGCTATAATTATATAAACCTTGGCATTCCAGCACAAAGAAGTGTTTTATATAACGCCATTTAAAAGTTGCAAAGCAGTCAGGAATGTGCCTCAGCCCAGGCACAAATTCACAGACCCATCCTTTACCTGTTCTGTAATTATAGCCTCAAACTGTTGTTTTACTGCTCTGTCACAAATGCTACTTATCCTAGACAGAGATATAAAATGAGCTGGATTTTGGAAATCTATGTTGTTTCTGGATTAGAAAATGATTTCTCTACTCTTAGAGAATATTTGGGGTTCTCCCTTAAAGAGCAAAACTCAGTCCAAAGACAGGATCTATCTAAATGTAAAGGAGTGTTTCAATACTGCCCTTAAAATCTGATTCTTGTGTTCGTTCTGCAGTACATGGGTATGCCATGTTCCTGAATTCAGCATCCATCTCTTCTGCTAATAAGACACCTAGGTTATCCTCAGCCCTGCAGATATTTTTGCTCTACTGCTGAGGGAGTTTTTCTCACAGAGTGTGTCCTAATAAAAGGCAGAGAGAGAGAAGGGCAGAAACCCTCCAGTGGGTAGAATCTCTCACTGGATAAGGCATTATCCCTTTCTAAGCTATGCTGTAGTTCTGACAGTAAGATCTGGGCAATTTGCTTTCTTCTAGTGAGACCTTCTCTTTCATGCTGACTGGAGAAGATGGGAGCCGACGGTTTGGCTATTGCAGGAGGCTGTTGGTAAGTACATCACCTTCACCTCAAAATGCAGAATTCTGTTAAACAGTATCTCCAAACTGTACTCTGAACTTTGAGGATGTCTCTTGTGGTTTAAAAAAGAAATGAGGATTTTCTCACTCTGAAATCTGGAAATGTGAGGAGCTCTCAAGTAAAGTAAGAATTTGTAATGGCTGTTTTGATCAAATAGATCCCCAGGCTTGTAGGAAATTCCTAAGAATGTGTAAGCGCTTACTTTATAAATTCTTTTTATTATGTACTTTCAAGCAAAATCAGAAATACAACAACACTGCAAACAAAGGCAAACCTGGTATTTCTAAACATCTGTGAGTAGTGTTCATCTCTTGGGCAGATGCTTACATCTCCAAAGGACTTTGCCAGCACTGCCTAACCAATCTGCAGCAGGCCTGTGATGTAGGTAAATAACCCACCCTGGTGAGTAGGAGGGCAGCAGTGGTGGACAGCACACTCCCATCACCCTTTGCTCAGGACCGTGAAACCAGAGCTGGTGCCAGCAGTGGGAAGTCTAGTTTCTGAGGCTCCTTTTCTGTCCTTGTGACCAGGGCTGGTCAATGGGTGAGGTGGGGACCTGGCTCAGCCTACCCATCACCAGAAAAGTCACTGGATAATTGATAAACTGAGAACATGGCAGTGTGTGTGTGTGTGTGTGAGGGGGAGGAAACAGCACAAAGGCTTGCAAAGTGTGTTGAGGCTGTTGAAGCACAGTACAGAGATTTTTGGTGTCCATCCTGTAGACCTGACTGGATGGCAGCAAAGCATAAAGCAGTTGGTTGTTCCTGTGCTGGCCTGTGCTCATCACCTCCTGGATAGGTTTGGAGCTGTTTTTGAGTGACTGGTGGGGAGCTATGGCTTCTGTACTGTTCATATGACAGTTACCTACACTTGCTTGGAAAACTTATATGGATATTGGATGCTGCAGGAGTCTTTGGCTTACTCTTTGTGCAAAATGAATGTCTACAGCAGCTTTATAAATAGGTCCACCGTATCTAAGAGCAAGGGACACTGGCACTTTGCCCTCCCTTCTCTTTCTGGCACAATTTCCCGTCTTTTCAGGCATGGAACACCTGCCGTCAGTAGCTTTCAGTGGCTTCTAGTTGACAGAGCAACTCACTGTCACTAGAACAGCACCTTCCATCCTGCAATGCTGCCTGTGCCTGACCCTGCTCTTACCCTGCTCTCTGTCCGTGGCAAAGATCCTTGTCATGCAAACAGCAGATGCTCTGTCTGGGAGGTATTGCTGTGTGTGGTTCCTCTATTTGTAAGAAGTTTCATTTAAACTAACATAACAGGAAACTTGTTTATCAATTCTGGGGGTGGTATTTGCCATAGGTAGTGTCACAGAGACTCACTCTGTATAACAGAATATGTCAGAGTGGGCCACAAAGAGGTTTATATGTGGGCAAGAAAGGTCACTGAAGGCTTGTGTTGCAGTAAATCAAGGGCTGGTCAGGAGGAGACTCAGGGATAAACAAGGGAAGAACCTAGAAGGTATCCTTGCTGGTGTAAATAAGCATAACAAGATGCAGGACAACAGTACAATTCAATGATTGTTTTATGAGCTGTCATATAAGAGGATAATAAGGTATATTTGGAAAAAAACAACAAAAGCTCAGAAAATTTTGCCTAGAAATATATCAGAGAATGTTTTCACTCTACCGGGTGAAGGTGGTTTAAGACTTTTATCTTTCTGAGAATATTAGCAAATTTATAATTGTGCACAGAGCTTACATTTGTGAAACAGTTGATCCTGGACCAGGCTGAGATTGAAATAATCAGCCACAATGAAAAAGATTTATACACAGGAATGTTGAACCAGTATGTCAATGACACATTAACATAGGCTTTTTTTACTCACTTAAGGCTCAGTGAAATTCACCCTACATTAAAGACAACATAAAGTAGAATACTGACTTTCGGCTGGTGCAAAAGATAGGTTAGCAAAATAGGAAATACCAGCAACAGAATTAAATCAGTAGTACACACTTTTATACAATGGTATTTTGAGGCATCATTGAATATAACTTTTATTCTCCATTGGGTATGGCAAAAATCAATCAACCAGATAGCAAGAAAAACCCCCAAAAAACCCAAACCGGAAAATAAGTACTGTCTTGCTATATCTATTTAATAATTCTAAAGCTAGTTGAAAATCAGATCTGCTGCTGCCACCCTGGGAGATCACTTAATTCAGGATTTTTAATCTGGATTCCAAAACCTGGCATATAGAATCTGACATGTTTCATCTCACTGGTACACCCTACACAGCAGAGGAAAGAAAGGAGTGATAACAGTGCCCTTCTGGGGCAAATCCTGCTATGCCTTCTGAGAGCAAAACTTGGCACGGTCTAGTGCTTGGAAAGAAAAAGGATTTTGGAAGCTGCGGAGAGAAAACATCAGCATTTCCCCTATCTGAGGAAATGGCAAAAGTAGCAGAGATCTACTGTTATTTGGATCTTGCAGCCTCTTTCTGCCCTGCTGGGAGAAACTGTGGAGTTCGGATTGTTACCTGAAGTGCCTTCTCCATAGGGCCCAATTGCGCTCACAGACTGTAACAATGAAGCATAACATGATGAAACAGCCTCACTGATGTATTCCTCAGTGCGATAGATCTGTTTGCAGACATGTGCATACTTTCTGATTTTATATATGCAAATACAGAGTTTGTACAGGCAACAAGGAGTAGGTAAATACCACAGGCACTCTTTATATGCCAGAGGCACATTTTTTCCAGTTTCCTGAGCAGTTTTTGGAAGCTTATGTCAGGGCGGCTCTGATGTCCAGGAGGCCACAGCATCTCCTTCAATTAGTCCCATTCCTGACTTTCAAGTTCTGTCAAATGCAATAACCATAATTTGGGAACTACATGCAGTTTTTAGCAGACATTATGTAAGAGAAAGGTGGGACCACACTGTGTAATACAGAACCATACAAACCCCCTAAAATTCTTATAAACTGTTCCACTTCAAGCCAAGCCAACTGCTGTGAGGCTAATTCCTCAGAAAATGTTCCCCAGCTGTCCTGGGGAAGGCTCTTGTAATACCCAGCGAGAGGTGTCTCACACCTTCTGGAGCGCTTGGCAGCCTCCTCAGCAGGCTCCATGGTTGGCTGGGCCAGCCAGCCTGATCCTGTGAGGGTGGCTGTGTCTTCTGCAGAGTCTGGTGTGCAGATTCCTTACTCTAGGAAACAATTGCGTCTTATCAGCTTGTTCTCTTTTGGCATCTTGTAATGTGAACAAACTGCTCCACTTTTTCTGTTTTGCTTTCAGATTTCAAATTCTTTCAGACCTTTTTTTTGGTTTTGGGGGGGGTGTGTGCTAAAACCCTGCCAAAACTACCCCAAGGGATACAGTGACCATTATGTTTTGTTTGTACTACAAATCCTGTACAGTATCCTCTTTAAATGTATTTATGTTGTTTCATTTTGGAACAGGATTAGGATGGAATGTAACCTATTGTACCACAGCAGACAATCTGCACTTCCATAGATAGCATGAAGTTTCCCAGTTACGTCTTGATACCTCCAAGGCAATCGTGCAACAGCTTTTCTAGTGAATGCACATCAGCAGTAAAGGTGATTTTGACACCCTTGCAGGGACTGCTTCATCTTACCCCTCTCTTCCCTCTCACATAAAATTTGCTTCTCCACTACTTTTGTAGGCGAAGACAAGCCAGCCCCAGGAGTCAGTGGAGGAGCAGATGCCTTAATGTGAAGTGTGTACCTTAAAACATGAAAACCAGCTGTTAGGTGGGACTAGCTCATGCTGCATTTGCTGGGGTCAGGAAAAGGGAGTTTGTTCTCCTGTCAGCCCCAGGAGAAGGGGAGTTGTGAAAACAACTTTTGTTGGATGCAAAATGTTTATGGGGCTGAAAAAAGCTCACTGGAAAACCTTTTCTTCTCCTTGCCTTCTTCCCTCCATCCTGCCCTCCCCCAAACACCTTTGACAGCCCTGTGCCCATTGGGTGCTCTGGCATTCACAGTTTGTTTCACAAATAACAAGAACACTTTAAGAGGAGCTTTTGGATTTAAAACACCCACAGTTTTCTCATGGTCTGAATTTGGCTTGTCCCTAACAAGGAATCAAGAGCTGCCATAGAAACTGGCTTGTGACTGACTATTCATTTTGGACTCCCAGTGGTTTTGAATTGTTCTGATTCCTGACACCATTAAAGCACATCTTTGTTTCTGGATATGCTGCCTAGCACATGTGCTTTGCAAAGGCTGCTCCTTTCAGACAGCTCAGCTGCTGCAGTGCATTTTCGATGGTCCTTTTTCACCTGGCCTTGGGGCAGCTCTTACTGCTTCCTCCTGTTTTCTGAATAATGCTCTCTGGGGAATTATTTAGAAGATCTTGGGCAAGAAATCCTGTCCCATTCTGGGGGGAAAGGAGCACAGTCCTGGAGTTTCAGGTTGATGCTGGACTCCTGCTTCTTAGAGATGGCAGGTAGGGTTGTGGTGCATCTTCCTCTTTCTTGCCGTTTGGTAGTTCTGGTTTTGCTGCTTTTTCTCTCCACACAGTTAATCTTCAGGAGATGGAAGAAGCTGGGAGAAGTGCAGGAGGCAAAATGTTGTGTTTGGGCCCTGCTGCTTTGGTTCCTCTGATGTCAACATGCTAGCATTTCCCAGTTATTTCTAGGGCTGTGAAACCAGAAGCTTTCCTGATGCTCCATGACCTCCTCAATATCTCGTAAATCCCAAATCCCTGGGTTATGTGTCTGAATGGCTGGTGGGTGTGCCCATTGCAGGGACAACCTGCCTTGCTTTGATAGCAGGCATGTGCAGTGTGCGAGAGACTCTCAGTGCTATGCCAGACTGGAATAATCTCTGGAGGCTCCTCTAAATTTCAAGCACGCAGGCAGGGAGGTGGGATTTGAAAGATTAAAATGGCAGGCTTAGTTTTTGGAGCAAAAGCCTCTTGTTTCTCCTGCCAAAGCAGGTTTTCGAGTGGGCTTCTGTCACTAAAATTCAGATTAAACTCACTATAAAAAGGATTGTGCTGAGCCACCCACGGACCAGCCTAGATGTAGATCTCGGCTTCTTCATCTCATAAGCAAGTTCTTGTCAGTTTATGTTCATCCTTTTGGGAAGCTGTCTTGTTATCAACAAAACTCATTAGCATTTTCATTCGTGAAACTGATCTAGGGCTGAAAATATCCTGGACTCCGTGAAAACAAATTGAAAACAAATCCAAACCAAAACATCATCCCTAACATCCTCTTCTTTCAGGAGGAGTGCAGTGCATCAAGGCAGAGTCACTCAGGTGCCTCTCAGCTGTGCTACTTTACCATATCACTTTCCTGAACTGGACCTGTTCTTTGTGTGCAAGAATGATCCTTGGATGGAGGACATGAGTCAAAGGCCATGTAAAGCCTTGTAGAGCACACCCTGCAACTTGAGAGAGCTCTCTTTTGGGAAGAGAGGAGGTTAAACTAGGACTGCTGGCCAGACACTGTGCCTGACTCTCCCCTACTGAGGAGACATGAGTCCAGGCAGGAGTGACATGCCCCATACAATGTTTTTTTTTATGGGACAGAAGCAAACTAAAGCACAATGAACAGGTGTTCTAGATCTATCTTTGAGGTGTAAACTAATGGCTGAGAGGGGAGGTTATGTGAAGGGTTGCCTGTGTTATAAATTTGAGAATTCCTGCCCCTCAGAATGGCTCCGCCTGAGGCTTTTGCTTGTTGCCTCTTACAGATGATGTGTATGCATCTGTGAGGCTGTGCTGTTTGCAGGAAAAAGCCTCTGAAATAATAGAAAAGGATGTCCTACATGATGAGTGCAAGGAGGGAACAATCCCAGCTCTCACAGGCATGTAGCCTTTAAGACGTTTGAAAGCAATGATATTTCATGAAGAAGAATCTTGGAGTAAGCACTAAGCAGTTATTGTTTCTGGTCTTATAGATGACCCAGGAATGTGCTGTTTTTACTGGCACTCAGTGAGACAGCTCTTGGCTGGGAGCTATCCAAGGCTCCTGGCATGGCTTCGGCATTCCTGCAGATTTGACACAATGATTTTAACCAAAATCCCACATGCTTGATATAATCACTCAGTGCCTTTAGAAAGGATTTTATACCTAATATGGACAAAAAAGGGCTCTGCTTTTTCAGAGATGTGACGTGTAGTGAGCAGGTTCGGATCCAGAAATAGACTCATCTGTATTCACTTAGCTTTGGTATTTTTTTGTGGTCTTTATTATAACAGGCAGGCACCTGCTGACTGTCCAAGTCCTGATTGCAATATTCAGATTTAAAAAGCACAGCTACCCCTCAGTTTCTCTCGACTGTCATCTCTGTGGCATGTGAATGTCAAACACACAGCAGAGAAGTTAATCACTGTATCAGCAGAGTCTAATGATGATTTAAAGAGAAAAATACACTGGACCTCTGTGTTGATACAGAGGAGATCGTCAGGCACTTTGGCTAAATGTACAAGTGGGCAGAAGCTGATGGAAACAGTGACTGAGCTCCTCTATCATGGAGTTGTTATTGATGGAGATGGTTCTGTCACTGCTGCACATCAATAATGTACAGCTGCACAAAGAGGCTGAGTGGTGCCAAGTGGTTCTCTTACAGTCACTTTTCACTTCATGCAACACAGACATAAGACACAAGGATGTAGGCAGCCTCCTCACCTATTGTCTCAGACCTCCCTTTCAGCTTTTTGCTGCTGAGGTTCTGGGGTTTGCCAGTGTTCCTGCCGCCGTTCTGTGCTGTGATGGATGTAGCTCCTGGATGAGGCAACGCCAGGACTTCTTTGCATTATGTCTTGAGATTGCATGTGACTTCATCTGAAGTCAACAAGCTGCCTTGTTGAAATAACAGCCCCCAGGAAGCTTGTGCCTGCTGATCTGGTGAAAATCAGTTGCAACTACACAACACTGGAATGCTGCATCACAGCTTGTTAAAAATACAGTGGAAAGCTGCTATGCATGGATGTCACTGCTGCCAGCACACACTGTACACAGGCAGACCAGCTCTCTGCCCTGAGGACCTGAGGACCTTGCAAGTGCTCAACATTGGCCTTCAACATTCTACTTCTTTTCCAGTAAATAAGCTGAATCCAGCTGAATCCAGCCAGTGGCTATATCCGTCTTTCACACACAGTACTGGTGGGCCTTTCCTGCAGTAGTATAGGCAGGGTAGCAGAGTCCAGTACGCTTAGGAAATACCATTTGCTTTTCTAGGAAATATCTTATATAAGATGGTTATAGAGGATGATCTTGACAGGCTTTTTTGGGGAAGGGACTGGGGAGATGTGCATCATTGTTTCATACTTACCACTGTTTAAGTTATTTGAGTTTCATGTTTATCATGAGTTAATCGGAGGAAGTTAATGATTTGCTTATGCAGCTTGCCTTTGTTTAGGTCTGTGGGCTTGCTTTCTGTATGTTGAGTTCTCTCTGAACACCATAGAGTGAGTGGGGAACTGAGGCCATCATAACCTCCCTTAGTATTGTAGATCTCCTCTCCCAGCACAGGGCCCTTGGAGTGGCCCCACTCCTCATGCTGCAGCAGGAGCAGAGGACAGAGATAGCAGAGGCATGAGTTACAGTCCTAATTCAATGCTTTTATGGCTGCAAGCTGGAGTGATATTGGACTACAGCTCCAACGCGCTGTGATTTCCAAAGAGGATAAGCCCTATTTACACTTTTTAGCTTCCTGTCTTATGGAAGAAATATGATGCTTTTCCAAGAGCAGCTATTTGTTGGAGAAACAGTGAAAGACATCGCATGATGGCCAACTGTGTGATTGATCAGAGAGAAAAGTGTATTTCCTTATGACTCCAAATTAATATATAATTTCTATCTCCTTTTTGCTGTTATCAGCCGAGTGGAAAAGGCCCACGCCTACCTGAGGTTTATTGCGTCATCAGCCGGCTGGGGTGTTTTGACTTATTTTCCAAGGTAAGAAGATACTTTTTTAATATTGCTTTTTAATTTGATTGTTTACTGAGACACATCTGCAGTGATGAACCAGACGGGAAGAATTTCTTCCTTTGATGGGAGATAACTATTTTACAGTTGCTATTTTGGATATTCCATCCCTATTGTTGGGTTCATCAAAAAATCTTATTACTTCTGTGACTGAGGCAGAATTTGATTCAAAAAACATCTGGGTGTCTGTATGATCTGGCTGCCTGAAGTTTTTTCCATTGTTTTCTACAGCCGTGCTGTGTTGAGCTGTAATTCTTGGCATCTATAGTTTGGATGATGGGCCAGTACCACTTTTCCTCCAATACCCCATGGAATGATGAGGTTAAGAAAAAAGACTATTTGATATGTGAATTCTATATGCTTAACACTATTGACATTTTTTTTTATTCTAGGAAAACATGGATAATCTTTAATTGGCCAAATCTTAATTGATAAGGTTTTAATTTGCCAGACGTTTTCACTTCAGATATGGGAAATCTCAAACACCTTACACAGATTTTTCTTGTTCATTCATATAGGAATAAAGTTGAAAAGAACATGTATATCATTGAAGTTAATAAAAATCATAGCATTTATATTGTTCATACAGTCTAATATTCATACAGAATGTTATCTTCAAAGCAGGTTTCAATCATTTCTAGATAAAACTTTGTTTAACACAAACCTTGTGGGAAGAACAACAATTGGGTTGCAATACTTAATTGCGGTTCTGCTTCTGACATCTTTCATAAAGCTCTGAAATAAAGGGTTTATAACAGCGTCTCTTAGACATAATATGTATCTAAACACAGATATCTGTGAGTGAAACAGAATGCATTGTTCTGGGAGGATCACATAGCTCACCAGACTCCTGGTATGGACAGATCTCCTGAGGCTCTTCATTTGCTGTTATGTTTTTATCTAATTTTGATAGTGAGGTATTTTTTCAAAGGCAAACTTGGGAGAGGGAAAAATAAGCGAAAAAAAAAAGAGAAAATGTAAGTATCTTCCTTACAACCAAGTATCACTGTAGCTGAGGTGTAAGGTCAGACAAGGAACGTCATTGCACAAAAATTGCAAATAATCTGCTTTTCCAGTTCAGTCTGTAACTTGAGAAAAAGTGTCTGGTCATTCAGCCAAAATGACTCCAAGGCTGATGGGTGAGTGTAACTCCAGTGGCTTCAGCAGGGGCTGTTCCTAGGCACTGTGGCAGGTGGGCCCTGTGTGTCTGGAGTTCTTGGTGTGCGCAGGAAGGAAAGCTCCCTCTCAGTTCCATACTGGATCCTGAATGGGGCTGTAACACATCTGTGCTCTTTTTCAACTCCTGGGTTTGTGGCGGGGCTGGGCCACAGAAAGGCCCCATTCCCCCTGGGGTCTGGCCACAGCAGTGCTGTCCTGCAGAGGGCTGGTCACCTCCCAGCGGCACAGCCAGGGTGGGAACAGGGTGTTGGGCACACAGGGCTGACCCCAGCCCGGGGCTGGGTTTAGCATGGCTCCCTAGCACATGCTCCAAGAACCACATTTGGAAAGGGGTTGGAGGAAATAGTTGTTAAATGAAGGAGGAAGCGCTTGAGCCTTAGTGTCCCTGTTGGTTTTGAAGACAGATGTGGTGTGGATGGACACACAAGTTCTTGAAAAGTGAGACACTCTTTGTTCAGATTGGTAAGAGGAACCTTGGTTGTCCTTAGATGATAAATCTGGTGAAAAGAGGAAAAAAGTCATGATGGTGCATTTTTCTGAATTAGTCAAAACAAGGAATAGTTGTCTTTACAGTAAAATATGGGCGATGAAAGACCACAGGTTATTAAATCTTGGATATTATTTATCAGAAAAGCAAAAGCATTCCTCTGTTTTAAAGTGGTTTTCATCCTATTTCTGATAATCCTGCATTATTTTCATCATCCACATCTTCCTTTTATGCTCGCTCACTCTTGTAATACCTATTGCTAAGACAGACTCGAGAACCACAGATATCTTAACTTCCAACCAGTTCATTTGGTCATAGTTTCAAAAAATATTTTTAACCGTTTTATCTCTTGAGATCTCTTTTATATCTGTTCAACTTCTATTTGGTTTAAATACTCCTCTTTATTTGTATTGCGAAGGTTGTTGGGGCAGGCATATGACACACACATGACCCCCCAACTCCAGCAACTGAAACATCAAACAGTGACTGCAGGAAAGGAGATGGGTATTGGGCACATTACAGCTGTGTGCTGACAGGGTGCAGGAGCACCGAGGAAGCTGGGGCACAGCCCTGGTTCACTACTGCATCCCATTTGGGCAACTGGTTTTGTTTGGTGAGGATAGTTATGCTGCAATTCATGTTCTCATTTTTGGTTATCTGCCACTTCCATGGACTTGAATGCAAGTTACATATATAGGGGCCTTTACTGTGTTGCAAGGAGAAAGGGGAAACTGCGCTAGCGAATGCCTCTGTTGGCATTTGGTGTCACCAGCTACCATTGCAATTCACCAGCTTGTGCTTAAGTATCTTTTAATGTTCTGTTCCAGTGAAAATAATTTCCAAGAGAAACAAGAGCAAATGCCTGGCTCAGACCCACTAACTTTTATATGACCTTTTGCTCTTGAGTGGTGGTTAAAAGATCACCATTTCAGGTCAAACCACTAACTGCTTTGAAACTTGCTTTCTCATCTTTAGGTTTATCATCTATATGGTCTGCCTAGTGGGAAAACTTAGCTGTGATCTAATTTATGTTGGCCCATGTGACCAAAGAGAGAAGAAAATAATAGTCTTCTCTCTAAGAAGTTCCATCTGCCTATTTCAAAATTAGCTTGCCTGCTCTGCACTATGTCAAACAGAAAATGACCATAATGCAGGCACCCAGTGTGAACAGCTGGGCAGGCTTCATGAGCTGCTCGTGTCTCTCCAGCTCAGCACAGACTGTGACATGACAGCCACTGCTGACACCCTTTCAGGAGCTCTTTCCTGGTAGACCTCTATCATAGTGTGGCAGCATTGCTTTTCTTGATGCTCTGTCTTTTTCCTGCCATCTCAGTTGAAATGGAAGGGATGCCCAGGGTAGAAGAAAGTGTTTCTCCTTAATACAAATTTCAAGATGTACTACTGAGACATGACCTTCCCTGTGATCATGCGATTTGTCTTCATCTTTCTCTCCTTCAGTTCACCCTGTTATTCAGGCTAAATCCCAGCAATATAGATCCCTTTTGTCATGCTGAGTCTTCTTTCTCCTTTCCAGATTTGTTCATTCTTCATTGAGTCTGTGTTAACTGCATTCACAAACAGGCTCTATTTCGTAACTGAAAAATTCATCATTTTTGGGGTATGATCCAACCCCCTGGCCTTGACAGTAGTGAAGAAATGCATGGCAGAGGAGAATTAAACTTAGATGTACCACATGTTTAGGCACATGTGAGTTAGGAGATACTTCAAAAGTGTATGTGATGCTGACAGGTTCTGTTTCTTTCTCTCTTATGTCTTACTAATGAATTAGATCCTGGATGAGGTTGAAAGGAGAAGGGGAATATCTGCTGCCCTGGTTTATCCATTTATGAGAAGTCTGATGGAATCTCCTTTTCCTGCACCTGGAAAGACAATCAAAGTCAAAACTTTTCTGCCTGGAGCTGGAAATGAGGTAAAAAGCAACTGCAAACATTAAAAGTCTTCCCCCTTACCACTCCAGTATTAAACAGCAAAAGAAGAACAGGAGGGAGACATACAGATACTGCAGGGATGTGAGGTGGCACACCCTCAAACTGAGCAGTGGAGGAATTGCACCAGTGTTGATATGCTAATGCTAGATTATAAGCCAATTTATTGTTATTTATTTATTATTTTATGTTTATTAGTAGGTTGGGCAAAAAACCCCCAAAACACAAATGTCCCAGTATGGCCTGGCCTAGTGTAGTTCACAGACTACAGCATTGCTGGACTTTATCACAGTGATAACAGGCAAATGTGAGTTTCCCATGCTGTCTGTACTTGAGCAGTTCAGCAGCTGGTTGCTATTTCAAAACTCATTACTGCTGGTCCTGGCCTTGGTAGGAGTGACCAGCAGCATTTAAATGGCTCTTTTTGGTAATAAATATCCTTTAACTGGCCCTCAAAGAAAAGCGTGTCATGTAAAAGTTTTTTTGTGCATGTGTGCACATACATACAATAGATATAATTTCTTTTTATTACTGACACAAGTAGCTAGAAACCTACCATTATACAACATATGCCTTACTGGAAAATGGCAATATCAATGAAAAGTTTTTGTAACTTGAGGCTTACCAGACATTAACTGTGTCAAATTTTGCTCTTTGCATGCCCTGATGTAAGCATACAGTAGCTCCACTCAGATGAGGAAGCATATAGAGGGGATACATTAGTGAAGATAGGAATAGAATTTGTCCCAGTTAGTGAAAGCAGTTAAAAAAAAAATCCCATTTAAGGGTTATTTTGCACTCCTTAGGGTTAGTTTTACAGTGCTTTTACTATTTTTACATTAAATCATATTTTTTTTTAAAATGTCAGACCACAGACTTCAGTGGAGCGGGCCTGTAATGCCAGTTGGTATGAAATGTAAAGGGTTCCTTGTGTAAGTGACTTTCAAGGCATGTTAAAGTTACAAGCATTTCTTCTGGAGAGGCAACAGCTGAAAGGGTGATTGGAGTAACAGTGGAAAGATCTGAGAATTCTTTTTTTGATGTGAATATATCTGGGAACCATGGATCTGCAACTTCTCTATTCTCTGCTCAAGCTCCTGAACTCTCCCCCCCAAAAAATTGAGATAATTCCAAGCAAACAAACAATTCTCTTCTGGCTGAGCTTTGCCCTCTGTTATGCTAGTACAAACTCGTTATTTAAATGGAATGCACTGGCTTAATTAGGAACAGAATCTTGTCCTTCCATTGTGGCTCCTCTTGCCTAAACAAAGATGATGATTAATTGGGAAGTAGACAGTATATTTCTTTGTGATGAGCAGAGTGAAGCAGAAGGCTTTGCCAGGCAACAGAAAACATCCATGGTATTTGTAAAAGCTGCCGTAACTTGCATTGCATCCTACCCCGCAGCAACATTTTAGTGTTGGAAGTCTTTCAGTAAAATAAGCTCTTTGTGATTTGGCACATAAACTTGATTTGAGCTTGCAATCCCAATGCTAAGGAATGGAGGTGGGCACCTTTCCTGGTTATGAGGAAGAGGTAGGCAGGCAGCATTTCCCAAGGAGGCATTCCTGGTACACCGTCACTCTGCAATTTGTTTCTTACTGCTTTTTGGGGCAGCAGCTCAGTGATGGGTGTCCAATACTCTGGCATCATAATGTTTCTGTATTTCAGGCTTAAAAAAATCAAATCTGTACACAAATACTGTTTCTGAGAAATTTTGTAAGGCCTACTCCAGTTTAAACCTGATATGGCAGGCTTGTGGAAAATGGTATCGTGTGCATGAAAACATAAAAGTAGTCTAAAACAATAAAGTGATGGTGATTTTTGGACATATGGGAAGAAGGAGATGTATATATGTTCCTGTTAATATGTCTTCAGAGATTTCAACACAACTTCGAGTTGGGCAACTTTTTCCCTTTCCCTTCTCTTTCCTCAGTTCCTCAGTAGTCCATCGTTTGCTCTCTCGCGTTTCATATTTTTCTCCTTCTGTTACTCTCTTCATGTTATTTTTCCCTCTTCTTTTTTCTGTCCTCTGCCTTCAAGTTCCACATCTGAGCATGTCAATTGCAGAGTAAAAGGAAGATATAATAAAGGAATCAAGCAAAAGACTTTTGAGAAAAGGAAGGAGAGGGCCTGAGGTCATGGATGAAGTATGAAAATTAGACTTTAAAGGGATGTCACAAGTCACCATCTAAGGCCTTGTCCTGACTCCCCAGTTAAGTATATATATATATATATGTACATAGCTTTATATGAAAAGATATATATGAAAAAAAAGGTTTTAAACATTATTTAGTGAATTATGCATCATGGAAAAGTGGAAATTGAGTAAATTTGGTTTAAATTCTGCCTGGCCTTATAGTTTGGTCCCTGGCTCCTATCTAGATGTTAACATGAATTGCTAGCCAAGCTTAGAACCAAATTTACATTGTCTTTATGACTGTTTTAACCCTGTAAGCTTCCAGCTCCAGTGTTTCCAGTTGTTACTTGTTTCATACTGTTGACTGAGCCAAGTTTTACGTCTCTCACAATGTTTAGAAGGGAGAAATATGCTCAGAAATGACAGCAATGCACACAGCTGTATTCTGGGAAGAATGACTTGATAGTGAATTGTGCAATATGCCATTTCTGTGGAGTGCTTTGCCTCCAGCCTCAGTTTGCCAAAGGGGACAAGGTTCATTCCCTGTGTCCCCTCAAAAGGAGAAAGGAAAGCATGGAGCAGTGCCAGAGGCCCAGGCTGGGCTGCCGGGCATCCCTGGCACTGTCAGCCCTGACCAGTGATGCTGACTGATGTTTGTTGGATGTGTTCAGGTCATTGAGCTGCGGAGGCCCATGGACTCGCGCCTGGAACACGTGGACTTTGAGTGCCTTTTCAAGTGCCTCAGCGTTCGTCAGATCATCCGGATCTTCGCTTCTCTCCTGTTGGAGCGGCGTGTGATTTTTGTAGCAGATAAGCTCAGGTAAGTGGCAGAGGGACCTGAACCAGGACAGTGCTACCTCTGGATACAAGAAGCTTTATGAACTGTACAGAATGGTTGTCAGCTGTGAGGATCCTCTCACTGTAGAATTTAAATGTCTTTTTACACTAATGGAAGTTATTTGTGTCACAAATATGGGGCACACATTCGCTAGTGATCACTAGGTAGAAGCTGTTTGTTCTGTCTTACTTTCCCATCTGTAAAATACATATTCGCACCTGCTTCATAGTCAGCAAATGTTTGCACAGCATTTTGAAGCAATGGGGTTCTGGCAATATTTCATTTCAAGTTTTGGACACAGAGTACTCATAAACAGTATCAGAGGGTGCCACCTTGCAGCCATGCAGTGCAGCCAGGCAGGGAAGTGGGGTGCTGAGAGTTCCCCTGGTTTACTCCATGAAGTACAGAGAGTTTATAACAGGGTTAGGTTTCAAATCCTGCACTGCCAAACTCATCCAGTGGAAGTGTTAAAATGCTATCATGGTCCATCCCAACTAGTTAGGATACTTTTCCTGCTGCTCACATGTCCTGAAAACATTTCCTTTTTTATAGCTTCATCTTGGGCTGCTTGCTACAATCTTTCAACATAGCTCTTGCTTCCCTGCCCTTTGATTGCAGTCTCCCCTCTGGGTTCCTCTGAAGCATGAACTCACCCCAAGGTGTAAGGAGCGAGAGCAACAGGTCACAACTCTACATGGCTTTTCCCAAGGGAGGGAGCTCTGTGTAGGCTGCACCCCTACCCCACAGCAAAGAATTGTCCTATTTTTCAGATGCCTGTGTCCAGGCATCCATATAGAAAAGCGTGGACACTGTAAATAAGACATTCTTTGCTGTGGCATGATAAATAATAAAAGATGGCAAATAAAAATAAAGACTGTAATTTATTAGACTCAGGAACATGCAGCATCTTTTAAAAGGACACAAAAGACTTTATGCGTGGTTAAAAACACAGATGGACCTACCCAAACAAACTCTGTTAAACACTTTATCAGTCCTGACCTTCTCTGAATGACCGCCAGAAATAATAGCTGCACTTAGTGGCCGCCAGTGTATATAATAGCAAAAATACTTTGCATAGTAAAAGCTTTACAACCTTTAGGGGAGAATTTCTTAAAGCTGCAGACCCTTCTCAGGTTATAAAGTTACTTCCTTAGCAGTCTTTTTTGTTGTCTAGAACAACAGGAACGTTTTATTTCATCCCTTCCCTTGTCAATAACCCTTAGTTACTTAGGCTGAATGACCATTTGGGATGACTTAATTTTACATTAGCTCCTGGTGCGAATTGTGTAACTAGTCCAGGGTTTCTGCAGTACTTTAGTAGATATGTGAGTCACATCATGAATATTGCGGCAGGTGGCTTTTGAAAATGCTGTTGGTGTGTTCCTTTTGGCTCTTTTTCTACAGCACGCTTGCTTACAACATTCTGTCTCTTTCTATTTTACTGTTCATTTAGCAGAATTAGTGGCACCCACAAGTCTGACTGTAACTCAGAATGACACGGGTCTGCATTCCTTCAAATGGCACAATGATTTGGGTGGAAAATCACAGAAATGGTACAGTGGAAGTGAGGGCTCTGCTGTGCTGCTGCCAACTGTTGCTCTGTTTTGGAGTTCCCAGTTGCTCCTTTGTAATGTTGTCCCAGTTTGGCAAAGTACCACAAGCCCTGTCCTGTGGGCCATGGGCACAGTACTAAGGGGATGGCTTGCAGCAGGAGACATCCTCAGCCATGAGGGTGGAAGCAGACAGCAGCCATTCCCTGCCTGGAGTGTTCCTCTGGGACAGCTGGCCTAGCCAATATCGTGTCATGCTTCTGGGCACTGTGCAGAGAAGAGAAGCAACAATTAAACTTACTTTGACAGGCTTAAGGCAGCTTGGCATGGAAAGCAGTCATGTTGCCAATGCTGAGGGCTTGTGGTGAGCGAGGTCTCCATCCGGCAGCCAGGGTTTTATACACATTGCAGCCCTGGCTGGAAGTTAGCAGCTCAATCTCCCCTGTGCAATTACCTTTCTCCTGATAGCTACCCAGTCCTGGAGGCCTTAGAGCAGGGGATAACAGTCCTTCTTAGAGGCAATGTGCTGCTCACCCTTTTGGCACATGGAAATAGGGCAACAGGACCAACAGCAACCAGAAATCTATAAGATCCCTTTCAGTAAATACATATCCAAACATTGTGCTCTCCTGAAAAACGATTCTCTGGTGAACTGATGTTTCTGTGTGAGAGCAAGTCATCAGGGGCCATTAGCACATACTTTGAGAAAGGAGAGGATTCAGATGGATCCAAGAGGCTTATGAAGTTTTGTGGTTGCTCCTGTAAGAAGGATAGAATCTTTCTTACAAAAAGGTTTATATCCATATGCTTTGTTATATCCACATGTACCCTTTATTATATACATATTCTTCATTTTGTTTAATAAGAGGATGACAAAATCTGATGTGGTAGACAAGGTCCTGGATTAAGACTTGTGAATCCTGAGCTATCCTTCTGAACCCAGAGACCTGCTGAGTGACAAACGCTGTAAACGTAGCACCTCTTTCTTACCTTTTGTCTGGTCTGCCTGGGGTCAGAAACGCCCCAGGACAGAGGCTGCTTCTTGCTCTGTGTGTGTATGCAGCTCTACTTTATGCAGTGTGGTCCCTCTCAGCATGGGGATATAGGAGGTACTGTAAAATAGAAACTAATAATGAGTCCTTTGACAAGGGCCTGGAGAAAGTGACAGTGGATTTAAATTCAATACTTACTGAGGTTTTCATGGTTTAAATGGGGATGAAGTCTAAAATGAAACACTCTAGCTTTGAGCTAATAACTGTCTATCTTGGAACATTTGCCTTATCTGACATGAATTTTGTTTATGGGCCTTGTGGCTGAAGCTGAAGGAGTTTACCAGTAATGTGGAAAAAAAAAGAAGTGAAATATCTTACCAGTCCACTCTGTGTGCCCAGAGAGAACAAAAGCAGGAAATTAAAAAGATTTTACAAGGATTTGAATTCTGTATGTACCCAGAAACTAGCTTAGAAATTAATGATGTTGAGGTTTAGGCTTCAAACAATGCAATGGGCTTTTGTGTCTGCCTCTTTAACAGGTCTCTGAGCAATAAATGAGTTCACACATTATACAAGTTTGTGAAAGTCACACCTAGTGAAGTGAGATTCATTTGATAAATTGTTATTTATCGTTCTTATAGTGCCCATAATATGAAAATTTATAGTCCTTGTTCTTTGCACAGAAGAGATTTTCACTTTTCAACACAGAAAGTGATGCAACTGGCAATGAGAAAGGAACAGTGAAGTTTTGAATGACAGGACTGTGAGATTGCCCTGGATAGATATGTGCAGTTAGATTTGGGGGGTTTTTTATCAGTAAGTTGATAATATATTTTTTCTGCTTGAAACTGGGTGAATAAATCCCTGCAGTTATTTGCTTACCTTCAAAAATGAATTTGAATCTGCCAGTGACCTTTCAGTATTTTGCTTTCTATGAGCAGTCAAGAAGACAGAGAAATAAAGATAACAACAAAGAAACTTGGAATAATAATAACAATAATAATAATAATAATGACAACAACTCTTAAAAAGGTAACTTAAGGCTCCAATTCCTTAAAAATCTGCTGAAAACACGACTGAGGTGGTGTGTCCCATCCCAGTTCAAATCCCTGACCCAGCTGGAAGCCCCTATTTATGTTCCCGCATTCTGCCTGTTCACTCCAACTCTGAAATAGTTTTGTGACTTCCAGCTGCAAAGGGAGAGCTGCTCTAGTGCCGTGCTCTGGGGTTTGAAAGGCAGCAGATGCAAAATTGGTGGGTTCTGGGGCTCAGGAACACTGATGCTGCTGCAGGCACAAAGGTAGCAACAGAAAATAAATAGAAAGCAAACACTGGAAGAAAAATATTTCTCTGCTTGTTTTAGTTTTATGCTGGGGAAACAAATTTGCGGACATGTTTGCTGAAGAGGTGATGTATCCATGTGTGTGAGAACAGTCTCTTTGCCTTTTCCCCTAAATGTTTGGTGAGTGGGAAAGGAAGGCCCTGGACATACCAATGTCCTTGTGTTATAACCTCATTTTTTATAAATAAAATCCACTCTTGCTGTAATCCACTATATTGTGAAGGACTCTGAGGGTATTTTGCTTACATTTCACATGTGGGTCCAGTCCAATGCCAGCTGGAGTCAGTGGGAGTGATGAGGCTTGTCTTTTGCTATGGATCCAAATCCTACAATATTCCTCTCAGTGGCCTTTCTAGAGCTTTTGGGGCTGTGAAAGGCTTCTACAGAGCCCCTGCTCTTGTAAAAGACAAAATAACTTTTCATTGTTATGAATGTTGTTTTTATATGAGATATTTCAGCTACTTCTCAGTGAAACAGGAACATGAGCCTCGGGGAAAAAAAATCTCTGTCGACAGCACTGTGGTTTATGCTCCTAAACCATATGGATAAACTTGGAAATGTACCTCAAGGTGAAGGTGGGCCAGGCATTTCTCCTAAGTGGCAGTGCCAGCTCAGGAAGTCCTGAGGGAATGAGGCTGAGGCAATGTTGAATGACAGTGAACTTCAATGCAGCTTAATCTTCTACACATCAGGGTCTTCCTCCTGTAGGGATGGCCACAGATGACTCTATCTTATCAATGAGAGTTTCCTCCCCTCCATGTTTCTGTGCCCCTCTGCCAGCTCCCATCCCCTGGCCAAGCACAGGAGGAATCTGTCTTGCAGCACAAATGTAGAAAGTCGAGGCGGATCCTAGACCTGACCAAAGGTTATGGGCTGCCGACAGAAACACTGACTAATACAGGACAGAGCATAAATATGTAAATACTGGGGTAGTCATCCCACAGGCATGTCTCTGTTAACTTTGTGGAGCAAAAGGGGAGCTGAGTGTACTTGTATTCAAGGGCAAAGGCTTTCAGAACAAACAACAGCATTTCCCAGACCTCATGGACAGACACAGCTTAGGGCTGTTACACCCAGGATGTTCAAGGACCACTGATG